ACCCAAATAGGCTGTTGTAACTAATAAATCACAAAGACAAACAGCCAAACTTTCAAAATCTCAAAGATTCACACTAATGACAGCCAACAAAATGTTGAGTTGTCCTCGCGTTGAGTAGGTTAGTGGTGAGTTTTCCTGGAGTTGAGTTGTCACGGTGTTGAGTCGGCGGTGATGAAATGTCCCATCTCGATATATATACATGCTATATGTGTGTGCGTGTGTAGGTGTATGTGCGGATGTGTATTTGTGTGTGTTTGTACTGGCCATATGACAAAATTGTCGGATCCCTGTTTTTGGCAAATTAGAAATTGACGACACCATAAAACAAACAAACAAACGTTTAAATAAATGTATAAAAGTGAAGATTTGTGTATTTATTCGTTTCTGCATTTCTGATTCTGTTTCTGTTGTCTTTTTAGGTTTATAAAATGGAAAGTGCTCTCCAGTCCAGATGTGACATTGTTAGCATTCTGAAGAATAAAAACTGTCAGAAAATCTCCCATCCAAAACACAAGTTTAAATTAATTAAAGTAAGTAAATCACTTATTGATTTCAAAAAAAAAAAAAAAAAGGACGTAGGCGATCATCACTCCCCACAGATTCTGTTATTATTTTCTTTAAATTACGATGATTCTTGGAAAAAGATAGGGGAGTGGTTTCTTGTTTAGAGTTTTTATTTTAATAGATTGGCTTCCACTCAAATCTAGAGATTGTTTAACCCATGGCTGGTGGGAGAAAAAAAACGGATTCATGACTTCCCCAAGGTTATTTGTGTGAAAGCGAACGCAACAAACTCACTCGTGATTTGAACTCGGCTTGCTGATTCCACTTTCCACATTGACATGAATTACACCACCTGCACATCCCACTGAATTGGATTTCAAACATTTTAGTTCTGTATTTGACGTTGGTAACCACTAATTAAACATAAATGAAATAACTTGAAAAGAAATTGAATTTCCTTTTATCAGTAGCACTCTTCTGCACTCACGCACGCACACACACACACACACACATTTAAAAAAAAAACAGACACGTGTATGTGTGTGTTCGTGTGTGTGAATTATTTATGGATTTTATTATTTACATCTTTTCAACATTTTACAGGTTATTTAAAGGTCCAAAAATATTTTTTTAAATTGTAAGACTTTCTGGAGATAATGATTTATTGACACAAGTTCTCATAACTAACTCGTAGATTGGGAAAGAGGAGGTGGAGTCATACCTTTGCGTGTGAGTGAATATAACGAACCTGACTGGAATTGGAACACAGTTCTATGATTTCTATATCTGAATTTTGCATCCATGCTTACAGCACTTGTTATTCCCAAGCGGTGACCTACATAAGTACTGACCAGGCTCGGTGTTGCTTAACTTTTAAAAACCTACTGAGAAGAAGGGGGAAGGAATAGACGCTTGTTTGTTGGATATCAAAGGGAAAAATGAATGAAAAATTGAAAGGCCCTTAACGGTGGTAAACTTCTAAATCAAAGTAGAGATACAAATGATGGAAAATACGACTCAGAAATCGTGAAAGTGCTTTCCAGAAACTAAGCAAAATATTAAGAGATAAAAAAATGCCGTTAGAAGCAAAGAAAAAGTGTATTGAACTGATAAGTAATATCTAATCTGCTATATGTCAATGAATGCTGGATAATCACTTCACAGATGGAGAAGAGAGGTGGCGTGATAAAATTGTGGTTAAGCTGACAAATGCTGAAAATGCCATGGACAAAGTATGTAAGCAATATATTTATATGTCTGACACCATCACTCTAACTAGTATTAGTCTGAAGAAGCTCCTTCTGGGAACAAAACGTGTCATTTATGTGTTTTTCTGTTTTGTCAATTGATTAGCTACTGTTAGCATGGCACATTAATGATTATATATAAATTATATTTACATACGTTCTATCCCTGATTTTGAGCACTAACCCATAAATATAGCTTACTGTAAAACTTTATTTTATCATATATATATATACACACACAATAAAATCCAAAATCACCTCATATGGGGGATAAGCTTATTTCGACAGACGAAAATATAAAGGCCACTGTTTTGAAGACAGTAGACTGAAACACCGTGTTGTCAAGCTCTGAAGCATAGATACCATCAAAATCTTGCTTCAACAAATTTCATTTGTCAGTGTGGCTTTGTCATATATAGCAAGGCTGGGCTAGTATTGCACTTAAGAAAGTACAAATGAAAGATATCTTTCCCTTACATGATATTCTCCACAATAGCCCCTGCTAGCATGTATAAATGTAAAACGAAAGGCACCAATCACTACTGACCTTCATTTATTGTTCAAGATAAGAGAGTTCATTATATATATATATATATATATATATATATATATATATATATATATATATATATATATATATATATATATATATAAGGTCAATAGTGGGAAGAAGAGTTGATCATGAATTTGTTGGGGTCTGCCTGGATAGTGAGAAGAAGGCAGAAGATTTGAGGAGAACTGTTGTTACTCAGTTCTTAGCATTGGCAATCAGACATAAACACGTAAATCCATGAATAATAATAATATTGATAATAAGTTGGATAACTGTTGGGATGTTACCAGTAAATTAAAAGAAAATTCTAATATGAAAGTGATAAATGGAGCTCTTGGAACAATTCCAGAGACTTATAAAAATAATATTGAAGATTTGGAATTCTGAAGAAGAATCAACAATACTCAGAAAAATTAATTAGAATATTTGAGAGATCGTTCGATATTTGAAGCAACTTGATGCCATTAATTAATAAAAAAAATCTAGATATGAGAGAGAAAATTCAGGTTATGTTTGTTGGTTGCTCATTTGCAATGAACTCCCAAACTGTAGATGATCAGGGTCTGGCAAGTGATCTCTCCTCTGAACTAGTTTTAACAGTTCAGTAAGTGTAAAACTGGCTGGTCACATTCAATGCCTTGAGGACAAAATGAGTGACGATCCATCATCAAGGAGAGGATCCTGAATTTTCACCTATCACAAAGAACAATTGCTCTCTCAGGGAGGCCGCCTACCTTGAGCGTCTCAGCCCAGACTTTAAGTAGAGCTCATACATATGGTCCATTGCTAAAGATTCTGGAAAGATGGTCGGTTCCCTGTACCTCTCCAGTAAGAACCTGACTCCTCATGTTATCCTCTACCTTTACAAGAGCTAGATTAGGCCGAAAAGGGAGTACTGCTATCATATTTGGGCAGGAGCTAACCAGTTTTCACTTTTTCGTGTTGATAGAGTTCAAAAAATCACCGCATCCTTGTGGGTGATGAATTATCCCCCCCCGCTCCAATTCCTTTCCCACAGATGAAACATCACAAACCTCTCGCTACTCTATTGGTATTTTTAGGGAAAGTGTTTAGATGAAATACGTTTCTTAGTTGCACCAGTTCTAACCTTCCACGTTCACTACAATCTTAACCTGTTTAAGTTTCCAGTCAACAATTATCTTTTGAAATCACTTAGAATATCTTTCATAAATGTTAGTGTTAAATTCCTTAAAAATATTAAAAATAATATATTTTCTAAAAGAAAACATTATTAAGACATACAAATGGAGAAAAACCTATAAAAGGACAGTCTTAAAATATTTTCAGAGAGAATAGTTTGCTAAGCTAATAATCAGGTTACATTTACTTGGCTATTATCACGATGCACTGGGGTTGAAAAGTCTTTTTCATGAAAGAAAATGTTAAGTAGCTGAATTTGTAGTGTGTGTAATCAATGTTGGTTGAAAGTGGATGGACAACTTGACCATTAGGAAGTCAAGTGGTCATTTACAGATGACTGTCACTGAGAGAGTTAAGTATCAAGTTTGGGTTACAGACGTTTGACTGGTTGAAATTTGATGTTTGTTTTTTCAAGTTAAAGTATGAATGATGCAATGCTTTGATGGTTTCATTGTTGCTAGTCTAAATCAAACATTAACATTAATTTGGAATTGCATTTAAAGACAGGAAGGAAGACTGGCTAAGATGACAAAAAAGAATATCCAGAGTGTGGTAGAAATACCTCCCAGAAATACTTGCCTCATAATGATAAGACATTAGAAGCAATGGTGTCTTCATCTTGCTAATATCTTACCATTTTATGGAAGATATTTCTGGGAGATATTTCTGCTGCACACTGTATAATTATTACTTTCAGTATTTGAAAAGTGGGTTTATTCTGGTTGAGATGGGGTGCACAGTAATAGACACATTGTGATGAGGAAACAACACTAGTGAGTTGGTCAGTCGGAGTAACAGGCAAATCATTCTTGACAATGAAATTTGCTTCTAATTATTAAAATAAATCTTCTATATTTCATTTTAAAGAATATTTTTTACAAATTTTATCACATGATTAATTGTGTTTGTTTGCGAGTTATTTCATTGAGGAATGTTTGACCTATTGGGATGAAAAATAGAATCTAAAAGCTGACTTCAAATTCTAACTGAAATTGTTTATGTTCTTTTCATGCTAAATGCCATTTTGGAAAGGCATAAATCCATTTTTCTTCTCTACTGGTAAAGTATTAGGGTAGACTGGAATTTTTAGTCTTGGTAGGACAACTATTTTAGAAGGAGGACAACTCAAATTCAAAACCAGATGGAAAAGAGATGACTACCTTGCTGTAGACACACCCAATGCTGCTACTGTTTCACTACATGTAGTACCCGACGGATCCTATACTGGGCGACAAGTAGTGCATATACCTTCAATTTTGACATCTGCTTGCGTGTCTTTTATCTGATGGACCGCTTAAGATATTAGTGTTTTTTGTTTCTTGAAGGACATGACCTTCTTTATATTATTTACACGCAGACTATTATTCCAAACTTTGTCCAAGACTAACCCACATTGTGACAAGAGAATATCTACAAAGAATAGTGATATATTGTAAGAGTCTGGATGTAAATTTACTGTGGCTGAACTTTCCAGACATTTTCATCTCAGTAGATTATTTTCTCTTTTAATCAAATTAACATTCCCTATGTCAAAATTGTGGCCATTTAAATTACGGTGAACAACCAATGTGTTTTATGTGTTGTTTTTTAAAATGTTGCTTTTGCGTTCATATAGTCTTTTATTTAAACTTATTGAGGTTTCTCCAATGTATTCTTTCTGGCAATTCCTGCATTTGATAGTAAATTCCTCTTTCAAGTTTTGGCTTGATTTGTTTTTTTTTTTTTTTTTTTTTTTTTTATTAAGATTTTGATTATTTTAGACGTAGTTGTGACAAATTTGATGTTGAGTTTAGATAAATTCTTTTCGGTTGTAGTCATGATAGTGGGTAGAATAATATATTTTTTGATTCATTGAGTTTGTCAGGAAGGAAGCTTTTTTATTTTGGAATATTTTATTAGCCTTTTGTTACACGTTGAATATTAAATAGGGGTCTTGAAATTATTTTCAATATATTTCTCCTCTTCGTGTAAATATTGACAGATGAAAATTCTTCTGAGTGCTCTTAAATGGAATTCAGTGATTATTCTGCATTTTATTTTGTTGTTATGATAGAAATAAAAGTTTATTAGGTTTTATTGATTGTTTTTTGGTGGACACTAAGTTTTAGGCTGCTGTCATCATACTTTACCTTTCTTACATATCGTGTAACACCGAGATGAAAAAAATATATCATTAGTTCAGCCAAAGTAAATTTACGTTCAGGCTCTTACAATATATCACCATTTTTTGGTAGATTTTGTCTTGTCACAATATGGAATAATCAGGGGAAAAGATGATGGAGAAAAGAAGAAAAAAAATACAGATGAATTTGGCTGGATTGAAAAAATATTCTTTCAAAAATTTTGAAACTATCACAGTCTCTCATTTCAGGCACATGTGTAAAAGTGGCAACGTCAACAAAGGCCAGTCTGATGAAACTCTAATGGATGAAACACGTCACAAAAACTTTTTCCAATTTGTTATATTATTTTTGTGATGACAGTCTGTTTCCTGTTTCACAGCAATTTTGAGGCCATTTGTATTGCGTTTTGGTTCATTCATTCATATATATTGGTCAATGGTGCATAAATAATATATAAATAGTTGAGCATAACAGAAACACACATGGCCTGAAGATTGCATTGAAGCGGGAAACAAATTGTTGCTGCTTGGAGTTGACCTCAGTGTACACTTCTACACACACACACACACACACACACACACACACACACACACATATATATATATATATATATATATATATATATATATAGAGAGAGAGAGAGAGAGGTAATATACACATACATATGCAAAATATATAAATATATATACATAGGTGCATACACATACATGTATATTTTTAATAAAAAATTCCAAGAGTATAGAATCTAGGTAGAACTCAATATATGAGATTCAAACCTTTTGACCTGGACAAGAAGCTCACCAAAAGAGAATCTATTTAGTCATCTGGTCAAATGTTAAGTCGAGTCAAGGACTTTTCAGCATCCGACATATATGTATTTAGACAGAAATCCTCTGTAAAGGAATGTTTTGCTAAAATCCAAGACAAGAAATATTTTTTTTTAATTTTTTACTTTTCTCCTCTATTCAAAAAACAATGCCTGTCTACGTTCAACGAGTGCATATTATTATTTACTGATTCATTTTTTACAGTGTATCAATTCTTTGTAGGTTATTTAAAGCCAGAAAATAGTTTTAGGTTATAAGAATATTTTGGGAGATAATAATGGTTTAGTGATACAAATCTTACTAATTAACCCACATGTGGGGGAGAAAAGTTGGATTCATACCTTTCCCAAGGGTATTTGCACATAAGTGAATATAACAAATGCAACAATTCTGACCAATTATCCATTACCTGCACATCTAAGATTAGAGAACCTACTATTCCCAAGTGTCAATGAATGTCAGTATTTTTCAAATAACAAAGCTTTGTGTTCTATAGCTTTCAGCCATTGGCAGTTACCAAGTCAAGAAACATCTAAATATAAACCAAAATCTTCGGTAGCTTGTTGTTTTTTTTTCATCTCTGTCTCTCTGTAATGCTCATAAATATACTTCAAGCTCACTGAAAGTCAAGGTAAACTATGGAGGAGGCTAAATGCTATCTTCTAAATTACAAATAATCTTTCTCATGTAAGGAGGAAATTCAATCCGAAATATTTTGGTATACATACAAGTAAACAATATAATCACTTACTTGTCCTGTTTTTCGTTTTATCTTTTACTTTTCTTTTAATTTCAGGATGATAAGCTAAAGGCTGATGATAATCTTGGTGCTGGAATCCAACTTCGTCCACAGGAAGTCAATATAAAATTAAGACCAAGTAAAGAATTTTACATTTCGGTTTCATTGCTATTCCTAAAGGTTCCTTTTTTTATGATACAAGACCAATATTTGAATATAGATTTTTTTTTGTATTCATCTAACTATTTCAATAACAGCAACCATCTTACCAATCTTGATGTAGGTCATGCAATCTGTCAGTCCAGAATCACTTCCATATATCGAGGTAATCTCTTAGTAGCAAGAGTGCATCCATCGCTGACTTGCTGGGCCTGTAACATAGTTTATAGCACCTGGTATTCCGTAGTGGTTACCCATCTGACTGCTTACCCAATTCAATGTTGCTTAAATGACAACCTATCCATAAAATAACAACAACAATAAATTGTATCACCTTATATTAAAAATATTTGATTAAATTAAGATAAGTACAGTGTAACCCGGATATAAGAGAGTTGTCGGGACAGGAGAAGAAGTCTCTTATATCCGGGTTTCTCTTATATCCGGGTTTGGTCTATTATATATACATTGACACAGGCTCTAATTTGGGACCAGAGAAAATCTCTCTTATATCCGGGTCTCTTATATCCGGGTTACACTGCATGATTAAAATTTTAATATCAAGTTAAAGTTCAATTAAAGTAAGTTGTATAATGTACTTAAATTTGATAAAAAGAAAGCTTTCTTCTGACAATAATGGATTGTATTATCAAATAATTACTGTTTTTAAAATCAGTCAGTCCCAAACATTTTATAAATTCTAAAAAAAAGAAGTTATACCAATCTCAAGTCAGTAACTTTTTTTTCCTTTGCTGAATTCGTTTCAGTTGCGTTTTGTTGTCTAAAAGATCCTGACCCAACGTGATTTCAATAAACAAATTCATCTATTGATTTTTTCCTAAAATTATTTATTTTGATTAATTTTTTTACTGTTTTTACTTTCAGTTTATTTTTTTGTTCCATTTTACTTAATAATTGCAAGTATCTAAAACCAGCCTCGGCAATTGCAATAAAAATAAATCATTATGGAAGAAGTACAAGTCAAAATTAATAGTAGCTGACAATGCATTTCAGAAACTTGGGCAAATTATTGAATTTATTATCCGCAAGATTTTATTTTCCATCAGTTTATTAGTTTTGTAATTTACAGACATCAACAAAGAAGTAAAAAGGAGAAATATAAAATTCACAGGTTGTAAACGTAGCAAAAAAACAACAAAACAAAACAAAAAAAAAATGTGATTGTGGTATCAAAATCCAAGGGAGATAATTTCGTAAAGTAACTCATTTTTACATGACATTTTAAAGATTTATAAATTATCTGCACATTACATCGCTTTTTCATGTAGAAAAAAAAAATTAAATTCCATCGTGATATTTACAAAAAGAGGAATAATTATGATTTCAATATTTTGAAACGAATATGCAAATTTCTAACATCCATCCATATTATAAATGCAACTATTGTAAATATATATGTCATCATCAATTATGTCTCATGGTAGATATTATTGATTAATGATTTTTAACTTTTTCCAGCAATACAGGCATCATTCATCATAATTCAAATTGATTATTGAACTTAAATTTGGAAAAAAGTTCACTAGATTTATTTCTGAGAATATTTGCCTGTAAGTAATGCTAGAAGTGCAAATGAAAGAGTTCTATATCTGAATGCATATTTCTCAAAGAATACATAACTCCATTATACTAGGAATGCTTCACGATGTATAATAATGTTTAAAATATTGACTTAGGAATGTAAAATTTATTTTGCTTCACTTTTTCTGTCTGAATTTCTGGGATAAGGATTTATCATTATTTACATTATTTGCACGCATACAATTGTCCCCGTTTTTGTTGGTATTATCATAAGGTTTTATGATAATACTAATCATTTTTTTTAATATATAAAAGATTAGGTAAACAGAAACACTAAAAAAAAGCAAAACAAATTGTGAACAAGTTGTACACAAATAAACAAACACAAAATTTTGTTAATTTTGGCAAAAGATAGCAGAAAGAAAAAAAAGCAGAAAGAAAAAAAATGAAATATAAATTTGAGATTTAAGCCTAAAATTCTCAGAGAATAAGAAGAATAAGAATAATTTATACTAGATTTTTGACAGTCCTAACATCTAAACTATCAAGTGATAAAAAAATGAATAAGAGTAGAAAATACAAAATTAATAAATACACTTTAGGTAAGCAAAAACAGAAAGTAAAAATAAGACAAACAATTCTCAGGTCAGATGTACTTAAAAAAAATAAATATTAATACAGAAAAGCCTAGTAAATTTTGAAAAAAGTTGAAAGAAATAATAATAATAATAATAATCAATATCTATATAAATGAAATTCAGACATAATAATCATAATATATAATGTTTCAGTTCTTCCCTATCCTGTAACACTTGCATTTTAATGGCTTTACTGCCTTGCTTGAGGTGATACTGATTAAAAATATATATATATATATATATATATATATACATAATAAATGAAATAAAAGACAATAATAATTGTGAAATATACTATATTATTATACTACTTTTAAGCAATATTTGCATTTTTCAGTTAAAGTTAAAATCTGTTAATTTTTTGGAACTTCAAAAAAACCTGTCATCTCTCCATAGTGGCAAGTGAAAATCAGCATTGTAGCTACAAATTAGAAAAATGGATTTTCCCATTTTTCTATCCATTTGGTCTACATTTGCTTATGTAATATTTTCTCTGAGTTTAAAGGTCAATGCCATATAAGAAGCTCCTTTTTCACCCTAAAAATGACTAAAATTATCTTCCAGGTGTTATATGGAAAGGTGAGGTATCTGTTAAGTTAATGTTTGCCAACGTACCATAGACTATCAGTATTTGCATTTGGCCTAACTCTATAACACAGTGGAGTAATGGATAGCAACTTGTATTGAGGAATTGGAGAGCTGAATTCAAGTTCTAGTTGAGTTGATTACATGCACTTACATGCTAATATTGGGGAAGGCATGAATGCATCACTTCTCCACCCCCACCTCCCCAAATATGGGTAAATAGTAGATTTGGTGGCAACTGGCCTAGGAGAAGGATAACTCAAAATTCAAAACCTGAGGGCCAAATGTACAGACTGAGGGCAGTCCACACCATATTCGGTGGTCTTCGCTTGTCAGTCAAGTGCTTTGAGAGGAGATGGACACTGCCAAGACCACTGAAGGGATCAGGAGAAAAAAGAATCAGTCTGTTTTTTCTGTCTTCAGATCATTCCCAACAATTAAAGCAGGTTAAAAAAAACAAAACAAACAAAATCCATAACACTGTCAGTAAGGAGATAGGTTTTATGTCATGAAAGAAATCATGAAATTCATTGTCAGTCCATCTTTTATAAAACAAACAAATGGCTGTAAATAAATTTCTATGAAACTACATTTTATAATTATAATGGATAAGATGGTCAAAGTTTGGTTCATTGATGTTTTTCTTTTTCTTTTCTTTTCCAGAAAGTCCATATACATTCCAAATAGAATACCAGGAAGCCAAAGATTATCCAATGGATCTTTATGTACTAATGGATCTTTCTTATTCCATGGGTCCAAGCAGGGATACGTTATCTAATCTTGGACTTGAATTAGGTAAGCCAGTCATGATTAAAAGATCTTTTTTTAAAAAATACAAAATCAAAATTCTGTTCTGGAATATTTGCTATATCTGCATATTTTTTTTTATTAGTGCCACACATATTTATAAACCTGAAAAAAAAATGGAATGAATGGATGTGAATAAATTGACAACAAAGATGTAGGTTACACAACAAGGACATCAAATTAAAAAAAAAAAAGGTCCTGAAATTCTAGTAAGTAACAGATGACAGGAAGTGCAACACAGAAGTCCAAAAAGTAGATAGGAATAGTTAAGAATGCTTTTTGGAAACTGTGGGATTATTGGTTTTTGTTTTTTTTTGCAAAGGACTCCACTTAATGCCTGCAAGGTGGTGTTGTAAAAAGCAATATATAAGGAAAGGACTCAAAACCTCTTTATTTTTATCTCTCTTCAACCACAGGATGCCATAGTAAAAAGAAATGTCTTCTTTTCTCTCGTGAATACTTCTTGATTAGTATTTTTTTTTTTATTAACATACAACGTGTGTTAGCACATGCGATACCCTGTCTACATCAGCTGCCGACCAGGGGTGATATCATGGTTTTGGTGGCTATGGCGGGACCGCCACCCCTGGCGCCACCAGCAGCATTTGCCACCAGGCAGGGTATGAAGATAAGCTAACTAATTGTTCCTTTAAGTAAAATCTATCTGCAATAAAAGTTTCCTGAACGCGTTGTTGCATTCAACATATTACATTCTCTGATTTTCTGATTTATGTTACACAACGTTCTGTATATGAATACGTATAAAATGCAAGTAATGTGTTGAAATATTAAACCGACTCTTGAAATATTAAACTGACTCTTGTTACAGTTGATGAACCTTTTCCTTTACTGTATTGAAAAATATCCTTAGAAACAAAGAGAAATTTTCTGGATTGCACTGAAATCTTCTAAATGACCGTGAGTCTGGACAATTTCATTAAAAATGAAAACAGATTTGAAGTAACAAATATTTTGTTCAAGCTTTGAAGTTTCAGAATATCATGAACAGAGCATTTGACAAATGAGGAACTTTGAAGGATAATAAGAATTAGAAACTGTTGCAAACAATCAGAACGAAACAGATGAATATTTCAGGAGAAAAATGAGGATATAAAACTTGGAGAATTTAACACTCACAGGGAACATCAAAAGCAAGAGAACCAATGGAAAGCAGAAGGCCACCTATTTTCTTTCTAAATTTGAATAAATAGATGGTGGAACAAGTATGAAAAAAAGTAAAAGTAGCATCATTATTGAGATGATGTTGCCATTAGAAAGTAGGAAAAACAAAACAGTAAAGTGTGAAGATCTAGACATAAGATTTGGTAAAATGTAACTGCTGATTCATGTTCCGTTTCAGCTATCAACTGTAATTTACATTCCATCGTCATTCATGGATGACAACCTTAAAATATTCATAAAAAACTCATTATATTCTTACTTTACCTTATTTACTTTAATTGTAGATGATATTTGATAAAATGTGATAAAAAGTAACTATGAAGAAAAGACACAAGGAAAACCAGTAAGGAAATATATTTAACAAAATTAAAAAAAAACAAAATTAAAAAACTTCTGAAATTCATTGTCAGTCCATCTTTGTTTAAAACTTGATATATATATATAATATATATATATATATAATGTATATACTGATACTATTAACACCCAACTCGCCTACTGAATTTAAAACAATTACTATTCTTAAAAGATACCAATACAAAGGATATTTATTTAAAAAAAAAAATTTATAAAATAAATATGTTATAAAATTTGAAACAAATGACCATTTTGTTTCAACACCCTATTTATAAAGTGATTTTATAACATATTTATGCCAAAAAAAAAAAAAGGTAATTTTTAAATAATATAAATTATATATATATATATATATATATATATATATATATATACAAGTATATAATAAATTCCAATAACCAACAATTACTATTCATAAAAGAGTGCTCAATACAAGTAGAGCAGATATAATTATTTATTTAAAAATTATTAACATAAATAGTTAGAAATCACTACAAAAATAGCTATTTTGTTGCCGGGTGTCTTATAACATCATTGATAAGACACTGATATTGTCTATGGTATCCACCATGTATCTTTATGCATTAACATCCGTCAGAAATTCTAAAATTGAAATTCCCCCACCCAAAATTATTGTTTTTTAAGTCCCTCCTCCTCATACTTACAAGTTTCTCTTAATTCTGTTTTGATTTCAACAGTTGTTTTTTTTTTCATTTTGAATTTGTAGGTCTGATGATTTGGATCGTGTTTAAATTCCAATGGAATAAATCAATGGAATAAAACATTTTTATTTTCAATCTGTCCTAGACATTGAGTTCTACCTGGATTCTTCCACTTGGAAAATTTTTTCTGAAAATAATTTTAATTTAAATTCTTTAAATATATATTTTTATATGTATGTATATTTTCTAATATGTCTATCTATCTAAATATATATATATATATATATATATATATATATATATATATATATATATATGATATTGCCATGCAGGCCAAAAAAAAGCAAGTTCTTCATATTTAATATGAAAACTGGAACAAGTTGAAAAAAATTGAACTTGGCCTGATGATCCTTCATTGGAAGTGTAAACTTTTAGGCTTTACAATTTTCTTCATGTTTTTATCATTAGTTTTATAAACTCTAAAAAAAATTGAATATTTTGATTGACAACTGATTCATATCATAGTTTGTGTTTTATTAACTATAATTTGAATAAATATATTTTCACACACACATGACACGCACACACACACACACATGCACACACACACAAACACACACAACACACATACACACACACAACATACATATATATATTTCTAAAGAATTTGGGTTTATTTTTTTAATTATGATTTTAACAAAATGTTATTAAAATTTCAGATAAAATTTTTAAATAATATATATATATATATATATATATATATATATATATATATATATATTTACTTATTGAATAATAAAAAATCAGCAAAAACATCACCAAATACACAAAACCAGTGGCATAAAATTTAAAGAGAATGGTTTACTAATATAAAAATTAGTTATTATTTTTTACATTGATCTAATTTGATATTTGTTTTCACTTTTATGGATCCATCATTGAGAATCTGCCAATGTCTCAATCTTTCTGTCCTCTTAAATCAAAAAATAAAATCATAAAATAAGCAAAAAAACGTATATTATTCCATAATTTATCAGTGGACTGAAAAAGTAACTTTTAGTTTAATATTTTTATGAAATTTGATTCAGCAAAGGCATTTGAATTATTATTGTTTAAGGTTTTATTTTTTGACATTAATGACACATGACTCTATAGAGATTTTTTTTTTTATTTTAGACTTTTTTTACAAAATTTTTTAAATCATAAACTAAATATTCAAACAAAAATATTGTTTTTCAATCGACTTGAATAATGAATAAAGATAAAAATTGAATAGAAAGTTTATATAAATAGATTGTCTTGTAAATGGAAAAATTATTAAAGCAGCCCGGTGTAACAGTGTTTTCAAAAGATAATTGAAAAAAAGTCCTATAATTTAGGAAAATTCTTTTAATATTAGTTTGAATATTATGATAAAAAAAAAAAATTAAACCATATGATTTTATGCTTACAGTGTTTTATAAAAAAAAATTACACTGTCATCTCTATAGAGTCAGGTGTCATTAATGTCAAAAATAAAACTAAGTCTCCACAATAAGATTCCAACTAATTCAAATGCCTCTGCTGAATCAAATGCTCCCATAAGCATTTTAACCATTCACCAACACTATAAAATATTTTTAACAAAAATAATGTTAAGATCATTTATAGTTAAATACATAGACAAATTCATATCCCAACATCTCAACATTATATTAAAGACAACGTAAATTTTTCTAAAGACAAATGCAACTGCTGAAAAAATATGATCTGAGCCTTAAACGGTCAATATATGAGTGATAATATTATATACTGAGTGAACATACATTCTGGTAATGATGTTAAATTTTATTTTGGTTCCATTTATAATTCTTGGAAATTTTGTTTCTACCATCATTGAATAACTTTTAGTAATATTAATTACAAAAACGAGCATTTCTCTCTCCAAGTATTTTGGCAATTAAAGAATGATGGCAATTCACCTTTAATCAACTGGAATACAATAGCAAGAGCAAAATCTTATAACATGAAAAGAAACAGATGTAACTTATGTCCTGTTGAAAAATTGCTTATTAAGCAAGAGAAATGAATTAATAGTTATATGTAGCCATAAAAATAAATACCTGCTTAAATATGTGAATACAGATTCGTTTTTAATAAAAATTACAGTTTATTTTAAGATAAATTACATTTTTTGGGTTTTTTTTTCAGTAATCTCCTTTTAATAAAAAATTAATATTCATAACTCTAATAACAAAATTTAAAAAATAAAATTTTGACATATATAAACATTTTTTTAAATGTCAGATATAAGTTTTAAAATTAAATAACTGTAATCCCAGTATAATATATAACTGTGCCAACATCATGAAAACCAGATATATTTTTTAAAATTTAAATTACATAACGGCCAGTCTATACTCAGCACCTGAAGATTGCATTGTGCATGAAACTCAGAATTGTGTTGTTGGTAAGGAATAATATGTATATTTATTAACATATATTTAATAGTTCTGTTGTACTAAATTGAGTAGTGTTTTATTAACACCAGCACTATATGTTTGATATATATATATATATATATATATATATATATATATATATATATATATATATATATATGATGTATGTATAATGTATGATAATAATTTTTTTTCATTCATTTCAGCTGAGCAGTTAAAGAAAATCACCAAAAATTATCTCATTGGTTTTGGATCATTTGTTATCACCTCTACTAATCAAACCATGTAAGGATCAAAAGCAAATCACTTATTCTCATTTCAATTTGAAATAAAATAGATAGAAAACATGAAGATATTTTTTCAGCAACCTGTAATTATTGATCCCTTTAGTCTTCCATCCATAAAATCTACAATCATTTAATTTCATCCATTCATATGCATAGCCCAAAAATTTTCAGGATAAAATTAAAATTATGAAATTTTTTTGCAACATTTGTTATCGTGTTGAAATGTTCACAGTATTTAGCACTGTGGAAGTTATCGCTTACATTTTTTTGTCAAGATTTACAAACTCTACATTTCATTGAATTCTGCAAACCAATCAGTGAAAAAATTTGTTTGAAAAATACTTTGATGAAAATCCTACTTTGTATTTCTTTAATTTAATTTTATAGAACTCTATGGTAAACAATATTTTTTAATAAAATTTATTTTTTTCCTTTTTAACAGCAAAGAATAAATTATCAGGATCTTACTTTTGAGCATGAAACATACAACTGGCCATGCATAAATAGTTGTTTCTGGAGCCAAATTCCAACTTTTGAAAATGTTTGGCCTTGTGATTTGCTTATAGTTCTTGCAAACACAGGGTGAACTGGAAACTGGATTCTTGTATATAACATCTTAAAGGAAAGATATGCAAAAAACAATACTGCATTTTTATTAAATAAGTATTTGTTATTTTAATCATCAAATTGTTTTTAAAGCTGTGGGAGTATATTGTATATTTAATAATAAAACTTTTAAGTTTTCCCATAAATTTAATGAACATTTATTGTACAAATTACACACCCAAGTAAACCAACTGTGGCTAATCACAGTTGATCTGTGGTTGGAACATTATTTTCTCAACTCTACTTTCAGTGAGAAGTACCGAACCTTGGCTGCTGCTGATTTAATCTGTGGATTTCATTTTCTCCTTTTCTTTGCTTACAATGCCCAATTGTATTTCATGTTATTTGTTTACCTGTGTTTTGTACTATTTTCCATTAAAATCTTTTTATTTTTAAATCCCCACCTAATTTTTTGTTATTCATCTTGTAAATGTTTTCAGGTGTGAACATTGTTCCGCAAGTTACAATTATCGACATGCAATGAATCTTGCACGCAATGGTACACAGTTCAAAGTAAGTCAAAGGCTTATCCTTCATTAATTAATCAGTTATTTTAAAGGTATTTCTATGTATGACATTCCTTCAGGATATTGGTGATCATGGCTTTTCACTATTTCCTTTCTTGTATTACTCTCACTAATACAATGCTCATTTATAACCTGTTTTTGTAACACTCTTTAAATTAAAATTTCATTTACTTTAAATTTTGATAATCTTAAAAATGTAACTCAGTGGTATTCTACATTATAAAACTTAAAGACAAAGTCTTAGAAATACTATATTTGACAGCATAAAAGACACACATATTTGATTCCTGCCAATTTCAGCAGGAATATTAAAAAAAAAAATTTAGTGCATTTAAGAAGTTAATGTTTACAGCAAGGTTTTAGCATATTACAAAACATTAAAACCACATCAGCTACGATAGAAAATATTACTGTCTATAAGAAGTAAGTACAGTTGAATATAAAGCAAGAAATCCCAATATTGAAAAATCCTTTCTGATTTCAGTAATAAAACATTACAAGAGAAAACAAAATCTGTCTATATTTCTGAGATGAGGTCTTGTAATTATTTACACTAATGTTCGGACTGTTGTCCTTGTCTTTGTTGCCATATTCCTGATGTTTCAGCCATTGTACACTTCGACCTTCTTCAGGTGATTGGAATTTCACTGAACCCTTTATTCCATTTCTCGGGACACATGGCCCAGTGAATAAAAGTGTTGGTTAAAGTAATCCAATGATTTGATGCAAAGAGTTGTGAGTTCAATACCTAGTTACAGGAGAGTGGAACAAAAACTGGAGTTTAGGGAAGATAACTGATACTGAGACATCCAGAAAAGGTATGACAACCTAATCTGGTGGAGGCAGATCTTGACCCAGGCTAAAAAAGCAACTGCTCAGTTTGGCTGCTGTAGAAAAACTGAAATTGACTGCCACTTTCATCACTCTATGAAGTGACATCACTAAGTGTACAACATGTCACCCATGTGACTTATCTCCACCACGCCTTCTGTATCCCTACAACTTGTTCACCTATATTGCGTATGATCCATTATAGTACACAATTAGGGTACAATAAAATTTTTATTTTACATGAAAAATATGAAAATTGAGATGTAGTAATGTTGGACGACCTTTATCATAGATTCGGTGGGGTGGGGACTGTATCATAGATTTGAGGTGGGGGCAACCCCCACCCCTGTACAAGACCTGTTTATAATAATACTTTTTACACTACCTGTAATATTAATAATGATAATAATAATAATAATGATGATGATGATGATAATAAAAATATGTGCCCTGTAAGATATGCAAGAAACACAAAATCAAAGCCCCTGAGAGATGGTATGACCACCAACCAGACAGTCACCCAAAACAATGACGTAACTATCCTCTGGGATATACCAATTCAAATTGACAGGAAAATAAAAGCTAACAGACCTGATATTGTCATAAAAGACAAGAAATTCAGGTAGTGTATGTTTATCTGAGAGAAATGCCTCCATGAAAATTATTGAGAAATTGTCTATATACAAGGACTTGGATATTGAGATTAAAAGGATGTGGGGAATGAAGACTAAGATGGTACCAATAATAATTGGAGCTCTGAGACTCGTGAGAAAAGGAATGGACAATTTTACTAACAGTGTCCCAGGTAACATCAACGTACAGGTTTCCCAGAAGATTGTCTTACTAGAAACATTCCATAAAGTGCTATTAATTGAATGACAATATTCCTATAGGGCCTAAGGACCATAGTTTGGACCCGTCTCTACAGGATACAAAGCAGGAAACATAACATATACAAATAATAATAATAATAATAATAATAATAATGTCATTTGAGTAAATAATATTATGATAGTGTTAGACAAGGTGGAAGTGACCATCTGAGGTAAAATTATTGACTATGGTTGTTAGTGTTGGGGCAAAATTATCTTAGAAGAGGCTTCAAATTTGTTTCTGGAAAAATGTGTCTTATATACTTCCAAATATGGTATCTTTTAAAGAAGAAATGCAGACAAAGAAAATTAATTTTCTCATTATTTTGTTTTATAGAAATAATAAAAAAAAAACTATAAAATTCTTGATAAAACTTTTGATTTCTGTTCACTGACTACTGAACCCTGGTGACATATCAAAATGACATTTTATATTTCCATAGCACATGGTGGCTGAAGCCAAATTGTCTGGCAGTAATGAGGAACCTGAAGCTGGATTTGATGCTCTTATGCAAAGTATTGTCTGTGAAGTAAGGTGGAATTCTTTTGTGATTGTTTTTTTTTATTAAATTCCAACTCTGAATTTCTTTTTACTCATGACAAATTTTCCAAGGGAAAAAAAAAATTGAATTGTTTATATTTTAGAGTCCCATAAACAGCCAGATTATTGAGCCCTACTAGGATTATCTAATCATAATATCAAATCTCATTTGTTGGAAAAGTTTTGGGAAGAGAGAAATGTAAAAAATTAAACAACAAATGAAAGAATAAAATTATGACATAATATGTGTGTAAGGATGTTGGGGTGTATATGCGTGAGAGGAATGTGTATGTGCAAGAATATGAATGCGTATGACTATAATTGTGTGTATGAGTGTGGAGAGATGTTTGGAGGAGCAATTTGTTTTTTCAATAATTTATAATTGAAATATGAGTGCATTACCAATTTTATTAAATCACTAATGGATAATATTATAAAAAATTAAAAAATCTAAAAATAAAAAAAATTATAATAATTATAAAATCAAAACTCAAATATTTTTAGAAGAATTATTTTATATTTTAACCACAATCTCACAAAAATACAAAATATGAAATATGAAAAGATCATTACCAATTTTATTAAATTCAGTTGTATCTAATTTTTAATTAATAATATTAAAAATTCTAGAAAATAAACAATCTTTGTCAGAATAAATGGTTTTAATGAGAAAAAAAAAAAATTTTTTTAATTCTTTTAAAATATTAATTTTATAGGCATCAAATATAAAATATGAAAAACATTAAATAGATTTTCGACCATCAGAAAGAATTATTTTGATAAAGATTATTTTTAAGGTTGATGGACATAAACATCTTAATTAATTTTTTTTTTTTTTTTTTTTATGAATTGGTCAAACCCAAAAAACAAAAACATTGTTTTCAAAAGATCAGTCTACTGATTGAATTTCCTTTTAAAATAAACAATTGTCTTGTAAATGGAATTTTTTTAAAGCATTTAAAAAATAAAAGAAAAAAAGTGTGCAAGACAATAAAAACACTACCTGAAAAAAAAAAATCTTTGTCAGAAAAATAAATGGTTTATAAAACGAACAAAACACACAAACACACACACACAAACAAACAAAACCTGGGTTTTATAATAAGTATAACTTTTTAAGTAAACTTTATGAGGTTTTTAATGCCTCTTAATCATGTTTTCAAATTGATTTTGTGCAAAACAATTGTTTTTTCAATTTTGGCATCAAACCACATATAAAAAGTTTTGTTGAAATCTATTGAAAAATGAATTTATATTCAGACACACACACAAATCTGCGTTTTTATATTAGTAAGATATTATATTTTTATTTGCTTTATCAACTCCAGTTGATGTTTTCCAATTCCAGGACATTGGTTGGAGAAAGAATTCCAGGAAATTAGTCCTTTATGTAGCTGGGGCATCATTTCACAAAGCTGGAGAAGGAAAGGTAAGAGACATTTATACATAAAAGACTTTTTCATTTAAATCCTTAGCTTTTTCTATTCAGTGAATTGATTCCTTCCATCTTTACAATTATCAATTTAATTCATCAATATCAAACAAAAACCAAATTATTATTTCTTGTAATAATAACTTAAATTTCTATTAAATATAACGTCATCAATAAATACAATTCTCTTAGTTGAAGCATCATCAAGCATTATTAATTTTAGATTAATATTTCTTTCATCTTGTAGGGGATTTATAACTCTAAGTAAATAATTTTAAATCCCCTAACATTTATACATACAAAAAACTTGTAAAAATAAAAAAACAAGATGTAGAAACAACAAAACAAGTATTTTTTATTAACTGATTGATATCTGGTGTTGGACAAACGAGAAACAATAATACTGAGTAAAATTGTGAGTTTGGTGTCAAAAGTAGATCAAATATGGATCAGAATCCAATGCAATAGGATAAAGAATAAGCAAAGTGTGTAGTCTTTCTCATATATATATATATTTTTTTTACAGATGTGTGTAATGAGTGTCCAGATAATTTAGTTGGAAAAATACAAGAAATGGTCAGGGGTTTTCTTACCTTGAATTTTTGTTGGGTGCTAAAAAATAAATATTGCTATTATAGCCTGAAAAGAAAAAGGAGATGAAATTTTAATGCCAATGACATGTCTGTGTGAACTGTTTCTCCGATAGTAAGACACATTGTTTTTGTGGTTCTTGATTATGTCCCATAGATTAAATATATTTAACAATTGAACTGGGAAATGAGACTGAATAAAGGGAAGTAACTCTTACATAGTCTAAATACAAATGAAGACAAATTTAAAAAATATTTCATTTTTTATTTTTCACATGGACTAAAATAAAACAATTTGAATTTTTCAAAAGCTGAATTTTTCTTTCCAAAGTTCTAACATATTTGACGAATTTTTAAAATAAAAAAAGTTGGAAAATGAGATTTTGACATTATTAATTATATTTTTTTCTCATTTTTGGGTGTGTTTTTGTTAATTTATTTCTAAAGTTTATGACATTTTGAAATTCTCCTATTTAATTTTCAGCTATTAGGAATTGTGAAACCGAACGATGGTAAATGTCATTTAAATAAGAGAGGAGAATACAGTAAAAGTTTGGATTTGGTAAGATACTTTTCCGTTTTTTTTTTTTAAATTAATTTTATTTACATTTCTGCATTGTTAATCTGAAAAGCTGTTGCCTAGGCTTCTTTTACTAAACATATTTTTTGCCATGTAACACACATCACCGAATAACACAAAGAATATTTTGGAACAATCTAAAATTGTGATTTTGAAATTTGTCTATAATTGTTTTTGTTTTTTTTTCCATTATTTTGATTTGAAATCAATAGTGAATGCTGGATGATCCTCTCAAAAGATGAAGAAGAGATTTTAAGTAACAGAAATGTGGTTCTACAGAAATATGCTGAGAATACCATGGACTGAACCTGTGAGCAATGACATAATTTTAGAGGAAATGGAAATAAAAAGGCCTCTTAAACTTAACACCAGAAAGAGATAATTAAAAATTCTAGGGCATGTAATGAGGAAAGAGTGCTTGGAAAATTGGATACTCACAAGACAGATTGAAGGCAAGAGATACAGAAGAAAACAACGTGTAGCCTACCTAATGAGGTCGAGTAAATGGATAGCTGAACAGGGGTAAAGATAAGAAAAAAATTATTAAGAGCTACAAAGGATCAGAAATTGTGGAGAGCCATCTTCACTAATATCCTGAAGGAAGATTTGACCCTTTATCATCATGCACATTTAATCCTGCTTTTGTCAAGGGTTTTGTATCTTAAATAAGGATATTTATACATTAGTTGAGTAGGAATCTTCGTTAGCTAAAGGTTTACCTAAAACTAATCCACAGAACATTAGCAATAGGGTAAATTCTAGAAGAAGAATTTTTTTGTAAACAATGCACCATATGAAGTGGGAAATGCAATGTAGTACACAATATTTTTTTTGCTTAAAGTGAAGTTTATTGCTACTAAATAAAATAATGTACTTATAAACATCAAGCAATTTTTTACTTTTTATATTATTTCCTTATTGTGTGTTTTGCAGGAACAAAATTTATTATATAATTTATACTTTATAATAACTGCTGCAAATTCTATTTCTCCTACATGCTGTGACCCTTTAGGATATAAGCAATGATGGCTCTCCACAACTTCCTATCCATTATGACCCTTAGTAGTTTTTTCTTCCTTTGCTAAGGCTTCCAGCCCCTTTCTGCCATACATTCACACAAGCTCATCAGGTAGGTGACCCACTGCTTACCGATATCTCTCTTGCCCTTAATATGACCCTGTGAGTTTTTTCCAAATCCTCCTTCCTCATTGCATCCAAGAAATTTCAGCTCTTCTTTCTGAAGCCATTTTCTTTAAGATGTCCTTGTTGCTTACTCGCTCCATCCATGGAATTCTCAGTATCCTTCTGTAGAACAATATGTCTGCTGCCTTCAGTTTTCTCTTTCTCCATGGGAGATTGTCTAGCATTCACTACCATATAATAAGATCTGATACCAGTCCAATGCTCTTTTATTTGTTTAATAATCATTTGCTGAACTAATTTGATGTTGTGCAATACAAGTACAATTAGTGTTAATTTTCAATACTCAAATTATCTAATATTTGGTTGTCTGTAATGAAAGTATTTTCCTTTTTTACTTACCTTTTTGTTTGACTACTTCACACCTGAGTGTGTTTCAACCAGCTCCATCTGAGACTTCCTCAGATCAAAAACACAACAGGGATAGGGAAGATCAACTTGTAGTGTGACATTTCCCAGATAGTGTCTCCAGGTCTTAGAGAAGTTGAGAAGATGCTTTGTTGTACTTGTGTGTATCAATAGATACATATTTTTTTTCAGTATTACTCAAAGTACTTATTATCTATACTTATTTATACTTATACTTATTTATTCTTAGACTTCTTTTATACTTGGACTTATTTACCGTTATATTTATTATTTAATGTTGTGTTTTCCTTTCAGGATTATCCATCAATTGGTCAAATACAATCAAAGATTAAAGATCGAAAGATCCATGTAATATTTGCAGTTAATGAAAGTTATCTGACAACCTATGAGAATCTTGCTGCTTTCTTTATTGGATCATCTGCTACAGCGCTCAAAAACAACTCGGCCAATATCCTTCAAGTTATTCAATCAAATTATGATGTAAGTATAAAGATAGATGTATTTTAAATTCACATTTTTTCAGGCTATTTCATTTCTACTTTCAGAGTTATCTCCCTTGAGAAGTGAATTTTTCAAACACAACGTTTTCAAATAACATTGTTTACATTTAAAGTAAGATAATTGTAGCCTATTCTGTGTTTGAGTTAGATGTGTTATTTCTTTTCTCCTTGATCAGTGAAGACATATATGAACATATATTAGTAATTTTATCAGTAATATATTTTTTTGAATTTCTTGCATAATTATGATTTGATAAGGTTTCATCTAAGAAATTCAAAAAAATAATCTTACAAATATATATTCACTGTTTGCACACAGACACATACATATTGCATAAAATTTCAAAAAGAAAATTTTTTTTCAAAAAGAGATTTTTTTCGCCTTAGCCACTAAAGCTGTGTTACCTTCCCTGATTGGTGGCTGACAAGAACAGCGTATCACACGTGCTTTCACATGTTGTATGTAGAAAATATTAGGTTTTTCAGAATGACAAAAAATTATTTAAATTTGTTTTTCTTAATAGACATTAGTTTATGATGTAAGTTTACTTGTATTCATTTGCAAGGTAGAGATTAATGTAAATTTTTTACTGAGTCATATATATACTGCATTATTCCATTTTGCAAAAGTTTTTATTTTTGTAAAAGTTTTTCTAAATAAATCAAGTGAAGGATGTTTGCAACTTATCATCATCATATACTAGAACTCATAATTCTACTATTGAACTAGCTTGATGTAACTGCAAATTCTATTCTGTTAGTTTTATTTCTCACACTTCTTACCTGTGGAATTTTGTTCTGATTTCTTGCTTCACTTCTATCCATACACTTCAAAAATTTGAATGCAATGTCAGTTACCATCTTCTCTCTTCCTGGAATCTGTTCTTTTATTGTCCTTTTTCTCCACTAAAGTCTTCTCATTCTATTCCACTTCCAGTAAAGTAAGAAGTAAAGAATCAAATGCAAAATAAAAAATAAAAATAAAATAACTGGATTAAAATTTGCCACAGAATTTTTTTTTATTGTGTCTTATATAACAAAATTGGTCTTTGTTTACATGTTAGTATTTGGCTAAGCATTCATTTCTTTTATTTAAAACATTAATAAAAATTGTTCTTATTTGTATTTTTCTGTCTTTACTTTTATATGAAACAATTAAAAATGGTGACTGCATTCATTTTTATTGTCCCTCTTAATTTCTCATCCATTTTCTATTTTCATTTTTTCTCATCTTTATTTTTCTGTGATTTTTTTTTTCTTGTAAAATTCAGTTTTGACATTTTTTGTGTCATGTAAATAATAATTTTGGTTTTCATTTCATTTTGACATGACATTTATACTTCAATCATTTTATTATGTAAAAAAAATCCTAAAGAGGGACAGGCTCTGTCAGGCCATCTTGTCCTAGATGCTCTGCTGGTGCTATTTTTGCAATACATTTGCTTTCGCTTATGACTTTAATGGATTATGTGATGCATCATGTATGAAATTATATTACTAAATTATTGTTTCTAATTTTTATTTTGTGTTTTTAATTTATTGTAGGCAATCTCTCATAAAGTTGAACTCAAAACTGAACACAGTGAGAATATTACAGTAAAATTTGAAAGTCAATGTTATGGGTGAGTTTCATACAAATATTTTCTTTTACAAACATTTTGTGTTTTATGCAAATTATTTAAATTCGGCATGCAGCAATAAACGACATCATCAAAAGAGGTTTGGATGCAGCTGGGTTCTTTTCCCAAATCGAACCTGTAGGCCTCGACCGTGGTGATGGAAAGCGGCTGGATGGCATTACCATTTTCCCTTTTAAAATGGGTAAGTCGTTGATTTGGGAGGTGACCTGTGCAGATACATTTTCGGTCAGTAATTTGATCAGGTGTGAGGTTGAGCTGGGTTCCATCGCCCGGGATGCAGAGATTAAAAAAAAATAGTTAAATATTCTTCTCTTGCTCATAGATTTTTTTTTTTTTTTTACTCCTGTAGCAGTGGAGACTTCTGGGGTTATTGGCCCTTGTTTGATAGCATTCATTTGGAGGATTGACGTGATAGCGTCTCAATTAAGGGACGAGCCTTTCGAAACGAAGTGGCTCTTGCAGTCTTACTGGCGATGGTTCGAGGTAATGCTTTCTCCATCATTGCGGCTGGCAGAGGATAGCAAAAAAAAAAAAAATTGTTTATAGTTTCTGGAAAAAATCATCAATGGACAACTGAATTTGCTTTGTTTCAATAAATATTGCATAGTTTTAAATGTATTATAGATGAATAATATGTTAGTCATTAACATGGTTTCCAAATAAATTTAGCAAAGAGATAAATGGCAGTTAGATGTGATGTTAGATTTTAATGTACAAATCAAAGTCACACAATTAAATTGATATTAGTCCCTGAATATATTTATATTGTAGTGATTTTGCCACGCCTACATTTTTCTCAACTGTGATTGGTCAAATAATAAATACTAAATATCACAGGACAATTTGCTGATTGCATTCACCACACTGAATTTTTCCTACCGTTAATTCACAAACATGCTTTTGTTATAAAATCACCAATTGGTTAATTTTTCATCCAATCAGATATTTTTCATGTTCTTTCAAAATTTATCCTGCGCTCATGCTGGGAGCCTACCAATAATAATATAAGTCCGGATTCATTCCCAAATTAAACAGTAGAATTGAATACAATTGAAGACAGTAGAACTCTACTACTCACACGAGTCTATACATATTATTCATTCTACTCACTCCGCATGCACACACACTGACACAGAACTTGAATATCATTCACCATCAGTTCTTTGTGAACAAGCCAAGTTGCAACAACTCTGTTAGCTACAAAACACACAACTGTATATTCTTCTGAATACACATTCTATTTTAACACAGAACTCTGAACATTATATTCTTGCTTATTTAACTTGCTTATTTAAATATCATATTCAACTAACAGAAAAAGGGAAACTACTTTTTTCTCCTTATTCACACATTACAAAAATTAGCTTGTATTTGTTGTTGATTTTAATATATATATATTATTGTTGAAACACAAATCGGTTTTCCATTGTTTTTCCTTGATTTTAAAAAAATGTAATAATGTTAAATGCTCTTCAACACGCAGCCACATTAATCTTTTCAACAAAACACCATTTACATTGGTAACCCCAACACTTAAGAAAGCAGCATTTACAATATCTTTTTGAGCAATATGTGATGTTGGTTTCCGTTTATAATATCTGTTCTTGTTAGAAGATTGGTAACTTTTCTTGTAGGTATTACGTTTGATTAAATTTTATATTCATTATTATTATTATTATTATTATTATTATTATTATTATTTATATTTTAGATTTAGTAATATTTTTAGATATTTTTATATTTATTCTACTATCTAAGGGCAACATTTTTTATTTAGTATATACTGGGTTGTCTGTTAAATTCATTTGTTTTTTCAATGTTATTTGATTTAATGTGCAAAATATTTTTACCATAGTGTTTTATGGAGTTTTCTAGCTTTGTTCTTAACGTTTTATTGATTGATTTATCAAAAAATATTTGATGAATAACAGGATTAAAATAAATGGGAAAAATAAATAATTTTATCATAGAAGCCAATTTATAAATAAATCCAAAAGCTATAAACCATAGACATATATATTTGATAAATATTTTTTGCAGGGAAAAAAAATTAATAAAAGTGATAAAGACGGACGTTAAACCATAAGGAAAAATAATCTGAAAAAATCTAAAACCATACATCAATGAATAAACTATAAGGAATTACCTCCCCTGAAGTTACCTCCCTTAAAATTTAAATGGCTGTATTTTTTAATGCAGTTTGTCATTGCGATTTTGTCTTCAAGATATTAAAAACAGTATTTCGTCAGAAAATAAATAATAAGAATAATAAAAATTGTCGTTAATTATTGTTGAGTTTGGATAATACTACTAAGATGCAATGGGTTAGTGAGAGTGAAAGAAAATGGGAAAACATTACTGAGGTATAAAAGACGATAAAAGAACTGGTTTTGAAAAAAAACAGATGGAGAGTGATGTTGCATTTAAATTTTTGAAGAAAAAAGAAAAAAATAGAAAAGCAAGAAGCAGGAAGAGAGTCCAACAGGCGAGAAGTGAGAGAAGTATTAGAATGAAAATTATGGTTACACTTTGCAGTTTCAACTGAAAAATGATGAGACCAAGCTGGCAGTCTAGAAATATTGATATAAAAATAAGAAGAAAGCTACGTTACGGCGATGGAAAGTGACTGAAGCCAAGATACCAGATCAGGACTGATAACATTGCAGATTCGTTCTTGGGTTTTTCAAGAATCTCGATTATTAAACTGAAGCGCCAGACAAGATATGGCAACACTTTTCAATACACGGACAAATGGTAGTTTAGCTGTCCGCTACCACTTTTTCATCAATGTCGATTTTCGTGCAAAAAGCGGATCCCATCTTCATACATGTTTCTGAAAACTTGAACTTCTCATTGGACAATAAATATTAGAATTATCTCGTATATCTTCACGTACACTGTTCTCAATAAGCAACACAAAACATATCAGGCTCCAGACTGAATTATGTAAGGCGCTTTCTGAGTGCTTAACTGATATTAAAAAAAACAATTTACCTGCTCACCACTACGTCCGAATAACATCAACCTAGTTTTTGACCTGACGACAAAACAATACACTCAGGATCCAATCACGTGATTTAAAACACATCTAAATTGAAGGTACGAGCGAACCCAGTCAGTGAGAATTTACGACGACTAGAATTTGCTAAACGAGTTCACGACGCTTGTACCATTACTGTAGCGAAGTACAAAGTTAGAACCTCATTTCTTTAACATGAAATAACTTCACTGAAATTCAAGCTACAATTTCAACGAAACAACTCACTCACCAACTTCTGCAAATTACTAAAACTATTCAATCACGTTATTGAATCTTACGAAAAATAAGTACGAACAATACATTCAACTACGAGCAACGAAAACAAACGGAACATCCACTTCTCCAACTTCTTTAAAGCTAAAAGTTTATCAACATATTTTCAGCATTACAAGATTCTTTAAACTCTCTTTCAGTGAACATTTTGAACGACAAGATAATTCAGCTTTTTGTGAGCTCAGGTAAAAAAATAGTTTAGTAGAAAAACTTTAGCCCAGTCAAAGGGAAGTAACTCATATTAATAGTTATTGTAAAACTGTTGTCATTTATAAATATAAATATTGTACCTGTCATGAAAAGTTATTTTCTTGTGTTCTTTCTCTTGTTTGCTTTTTGTTTTCTTACACATTCGTAAAGTAAAAAAATGTGGGGGTTGATTTATGCCGTCAATACCACTACAGTAGACTTAAAAAAAGGGTATTGATGTATTCTCTCGATAAGAACTTTCTGGCATGACACAATGAATCAACTTTTCTAGCAACAGATCTAGCAATTGATTCAATAGAATCCTTCCACTTCATGTCAGTGGAAAATGTTGCTTTACCAGAGGTTGGTAGCAGCCATGATGATGAAAAGTGTAAGAGAATGAAAATTAAATAATAAATAAAATAAATAATAAATATAATAATTAAAAAAATAAATAATTTCATTTTCCCAGAATGCAAATGGAAAACAAAAAAAAAAAAAAAAGTTTCCGGTAACATGCAAAATAAATTTTTATGACCCCAATACCAGGAAAGAGATCATCTAATCTGGATACTTTCGAATCGTTGGATTCGGACGTGTTTTGCAGCCGTCGTAAGAAAAGAAGATTCAGTCAACCTCTCTTAACGTCATGTTGACTTGAGGTCGACCAATATCTTACCTCCGAGATTAATACACACACTTTCGTCAATAAAAATTTACCCTTAATTTTCCAATCAATTTTTTGTGTTATTTATTGTTGTACAACAACATTACCATCTTCTTACCACAGTTAACAACAACAGATTGAAGGTCATTTTGGAGATCAGCTGTCAATGTGATTTTATCGAAGCTATCAGACTTACTAATAAGACAGGTATAAATACTTGAGTCATCAGCATAGACACCAACTCGAGAACTATGGTCATGGGGAAGGTCGTAAAAGATAAGTGAGTCCGGAAGAGATGATATGAAGAAGATTGTAAAAGATAGTAAGTCGGGAACTGATGACATGAGTAAGGTCGTAAAAGTTTTGTGATGTTTCAAAATTTGATAATCTTATTTTCTATGTTTACCTCTTCATTTCCAGAAATGATATGACGGAAACAAATGTTTGTGATAAACTCATCCCAAATAAAAAGGTAATATATACTATTCAGTTATGCTTAGTGATGAGGAATTGGATTTTAAACAAATACAAATTTTTGAAGAATATTTGTTAAATGAGATATTTTTTAATTTGTTAATAGATAGGGACTTAATATTATGTGTGGATATGGCAGCTGAGAGAATAGTAATGTGGGTTGCTTCGTACAAGAGATTAAGAATTAATATACAAACAATTATATCAAATTGATCAGATCCAGATACTATATTTCTATATACAACTATTGTTAGAATCAACATATTAATGGCTTATCTGGAAATACAAAAAAATATCTTGGTCTTGTCTACATGGGAATTGTACTTCCCGCCATAGTGGATCGAATCACAACTAGTTACTACATCCACCTCTGTTGTGAGCTAAACCGCAACTATCGATTATCAATAAGAAATCTCCTAATCATCAAACATCCCCTAGGACATTTGACAGTTATTCCTATCAGAAAGGCCATAATCGCCTTGCACATTAGTGCAACTTAAAATATACGTTTAGCTGAATTAAGGTAAAATGTGGCTGATCGCCATAAATTAATTCATGAAACGAAAAATTTGCTTTACAGAACAATTTATTCAACTTTTATAATGAATAAATATTTGCTTTATCTCTGATTTTTTGGCATAACGAACAGAGATTAACAATTTAAAATCAACCAAGGAAGTAGAGAATCATTTTATCTCCAGTAATTTGTCTGTATTAAGTTTGTAAGACATAAGCTAAAAACCTTTAAAATCTCTCACTGTCTTGCAAAATAAACTTGATTTGTTTCTAACGATTCAATATTTTTTTATTATTAAAGGTGGTTTTTAATGTTACTATTCAAATTGATGAATGTCCCACGAAGGCTTCTAACTGGAAAAGAACCCTGGATATATATCCTGTCGGTCTGGATATGAAAGTTAGTGTCCACATCGATATGATCTGCGAATGTGAGTGTAAAGAAGATGCAGATATGGTAAGTAAACATTCTTTTGCGTTAGGTTTTATATAAATATGTAAAAATAATCCGGTTCAAATATATAGAGAACCTGTTCAAACTGTTTCACTTCATACAAAATATATTTCAACACAGGGGTCGGAATTTTAAAATGTGTAAAATTAAAGAACATCTTTGTTCTCAGGAGCTGTTTAGTTTGGCAACGCCTCTAGGAGACTAATATTGTTAAACATCTTCTACACATGGCGAAACTTGTGTCCGATGCACGTGTATTTAAATTAGGAATGCAGTGTTGTTAAAACTTACAGAGGGAACAAATAAAACCTGTTCACCAGAGTCACTGATAACATTAATATTCTTGAAAGAAAATCGAGGAAAAACATTATGTACGTTGAACAGTTTCTACACAAATTATGCGGTAACTTTAGAACTGGAAAAATGTAATAAAAATATTCAACAGATTGACCTTGTCGGTGTAATTTTAACAAAACTTGCAGATATATACAGACTGGCTGTCGATTCGTTGAACGGGTAAAACACATCGTTGACAAATATGTTCCATGGTCTTAGTTCTCGTGAGAACGACAATAGCTCATGAAGCCTGCAAGTTACTTGCAATGCCTATTGTGAATGCAGTAAACTAAGTCGTTCTATACAGAGCTTGGCTTGTTTTGTAAATTCTGTTCAGTTTGCTATTGGATTTTAATTTGACAGATGACGTTCTCTGCCGATTTTCGGACTACACGACATGTTAAATTATTCTCAGCGAAGTAGAAATCGTAATTTTCCAAACGTTTACCAGTATGACTATTCTTGTGGCTAACGAAATTTGTAATCGAAAAACACATTCTGCTACATTTATTACATGGAAATTGATTGATTACTGGATCAATTGGATCAATGATTTCCTTTTAAATGTTTAGCAGTACGCTGAACATTTGTCCAACTCATTAGATGTTCTTTGGAGATCTTAATATATATATATATATATATATATATATATATATATATATATATATATATATATATATATATAGTCATCCAAGACTGTTTCGCTGTATCACAACTCTTCAGTGTGGCTAGACGTCCGATTGTTTAAAGCCGGGATCGAAACAGCCAAAGATCCTACATAGGTGCACGGCAGAGGAAATTTTAGCGGCTAAGAGAGCCTCGTACTTAAAGAGTAATGCATTCATACTTGTAACAGCCACTGTTTTTATTAAATGTACCCTTTTCTCAAGAGAGCTCTATCGGAAGGATTCCGAGAGCATATATATATATATATATATATATATATATATATATATATATATATATATATATATATATATATCTTATGTAGGTATACATTTTCAGTTTCTTTTTAAATTTTATTACATTTATATTTATTTATTCCAATTACAAAGGTCAGAGCCTCTCTTATCTCATTTTCTTCGCCTATAGACGTCCCAGGTAATTCACCACTGAACCGTTTTTTTTTTCAAATATATCTCTTCTACGATAAATTGTCAGCCATGTTGGTGGAACAGTGTCAAATGCTTCTCACTAAGCTTTTCACACCTGATCGACATTTTCAATCTTCCAATACTGCTTTAGAATCCACTTTCTTTGTTTATGATTGAAATTATTTGCCATTATTCACAATACCTGTAAAAAAAATAAAAAAAGTCACGTCAGTGTATAAATAATTAAATAACAGTATATCTACTTTGGACCCACCTTGTATATATTATAAGTTTCTCGGATTTTACCTGTTTTCTATTCATTTTTCAATTTCATCTAAGACAAAATTTGTAACGCAATAATATATGTGGAAAACTATATTAAACTAAATTCAAGTTTGATAAAAGAATCTAAAAACAGGTAGCATTGCGCGACTTTACCTATTATATGTATTTTCTGTTTGCAGTCCGTGAAAAGTTTAGCGTGTAACGACAAAGGTGTATACGCCTGCGGTATTTGTTTATGTGACGAGGGTTATGTTGGCAGAAAATGTGAGTGTAGTAAAATAGGAAGCAATTCAACAACTGCCCTCGACAAACAATGCATGGAGTAAGTTTTTTTCTTATCTTTTTATCAAGAACATCTGATTTCCTGAACAATTTGCCCAGGTTTTTCATCTACTCTGGCGCTTATAGACTGATTTCGTAATTGGTGGCATTGTATTATCCATACACAGTATCTCTATAGACAAAGAACCATAATCAACTCATTGCATCTAGAAGTTTTCGTGGGCAATTTAAATAAAATATGTTACAGAAAAGTAAATGAGAAATGAAGTTGTGATGAGCTCAAAGCAACCTTCAGTAGGTATCTGATGCTGACAGAAAGAAAACCGTACGTCTTGTCGCTAGCAAAGTCAAAAGGGAAAGAGAGATATGCTTTCAATCTCACGCCGCTTGTGATTATCGTCAGGGGATTGTAATTCAATATCTCACCGCCTGTAATTATCGTTAGGGGGCGGTAATCCATCAATAGATAGATAGTATTGCGCGTCTCATGACTTTTGTTTCCTGGGGTGGATGTTTTTTTCAATAAATATTTAATGGCTAAAATGGTACATTTGTCACGCAAAAAATATTGGCGGATACATGTGAGTCCGGGTAAAAATAAAAAAAAAAATTTAAAAAATCCCCAAAAAACATGGAATTAAAACAAACAAGTGTCAATAAATATATTAAATGGACATGTTACAAAAAGGAAAATGATATATAAAGTGAAAATTTTCAAATTTCGCGCCGCCAGTGATAATCATCAGGGACGGTAATCTAGCAAGGGTTAAGATAGCTATGTAGTTGCCATCAGGAACAGCCCAAAATTAAAAACCAGAATGTTCATTTTCTAAATTCACATGCTCTCTTCATTAGGAAGAGTGGCGTAAAAATATTTTTCTACCAATATTTGACTTTCTGCCGTACTATGCTAAGTATATTGGATACTCAAGTAGGGGTCAGGACGAGATAGAAGTGAATTTCCTTGCACAAGAACAGCAGTTGAAGGATAAGAAAGCAAATGAAATCCTGAGAAATTGTTATCATAAAACCAGAAATACTGCTAGAGATCAAGTTGCCTAGGAGGATTGTATAGAGGACTCCAACTAGTACATTGAAATGGTGGATAGAATAGTGAGAAAGTATCGAGCTCACTGAGATGTAAGGCAGGGGCTATTACGGGTCAATTCCTTTTGTAATGCCTACTGGTCATCAAAGAAGTGAGTAGGTGGAGAGACATCAAACTGACTACTGAAAAACTGAAATTACTCGAAGGTAGCTTTGAATCAGAAAAAAAATCCGTTGGTAAGATAGCGTTATTTGAATAGGCCGAATCTTGACCATGCCAATGAGTTGATCTGAGTTAAGATATCTGTTTGTTGAAACACCCACAAGTAGACACTGTAAATAATTTTTACTAAAATTAAACTCGTCTAGCACACATATCTCCCTCCAACTCGAGTGCGCCGCCTCTGTGTTGCAGTGCCACAATAGGTTTAGTAAATCTTAAAAATTACATTTATTGACGCCAATAAATAATTCGCTCTTTTAATTATATGAGGTTTTTCGGCGAATAACTGGGTTTATAATCACGCCATTGTACCCAAGAACATATTAAGCTAATGCTAAATTATCCAGTAACATTATTTTAAACAGTATTAAAGACAAGTTAGAACTTTTTGCGTATGAAATCAATCGACAGTCGTACGGCATTTAAAAAGGTAGGAAAAGGTTTTGAAGCAAGGCAAGTGGATTTCAATTGAACTTAAAGAATATGAATTTACGTTCAGATGTTCAGTGTTGAACATCTGAACGTAAATGAACTCGTCTAAGGAAAACGGTTTTCTCGATCTTTGATAAAATTCAAAAGACTGGGACCCGGACAGCACAATTATTAAGTGAACAAATACCATATTTGTACGTAAAAAATTATTTACACTATTACGTAAATAATTATTTCTGGGCAAGGAAGTCTATTGGTGTTTTCTTTAATGGAGATGACCATCCTTAAGTTACAAATGGAATTCAATCATGTTATAATAGGAGAGCTTGCAAGAAAGGTTCACCCATTTGAATTTCCCCCATTATGAGCATTATTATATCCCACGCAGAGAAAATATAACATATCTACATGGCAAGCAGAGCGAAAGGTGAAAGAAAAGATAAAGTTTTACATATAATATGGAGATTCTTCTGTGTTTCTGGAGAAGCCATGTGTAGGACTCAAGATTCAAGATTCATCTACTATAATTGAAGCAAGTATATTCCACGAACTGGAAACGGCTAATTGAGCACTGCTAGCCGGAGATTTCTATATCTAGAGACGATATATTCCCAAAGGAAAACGGCGCCATGAACTTGTTGCTAGGGGAGGCAGTTTTAGTCCTATCCCGGATCGAGATGCCGGAACCGAAAAAGCAACTGCTCGGTTTGGCTCCTGTAAACCGACTGATAGACTGACCACTTTCGTCACTGCATGAAGTAACGTCATGAAGCGGCCGACACGTGACTTACATGACTATCTCGATATCAAAGGGAGATAATCGCCTTTTGTTTCCTTACAATGAGATTAAGACGAGAAGTTCTTCCATATTTGGGCTATTTTAAAAATTCATTACCGTTATATTATCATTTCTTTTGACCCATGTAACCCATGTTTTCTGGTTAGAGGTTTTAACAAGAGTAAATTATCGAAACATTGGCCGCTGAATTCATCGAACCAAAACCAAAACCAGCGCAGATGTTAGAAGGAAACGCTTGCAGGGATACAGAGAAACAATCAGCGAAAAAAAAATATATATATAAGAGTGGACACCGAGAGCAACAACAAGTGACACACACACACACACACACACACACACACACACACACACACACACACACACACACACAGATATGTGAATAAAAACAAAAAGAAAACTTATCTTAGCCGACACGTTTCGTCCTTTGAGGGACTTTGTCAAAATAAATGCAAGGATATTTTTGTGATAAGTATTTATAGACAAGAGCATAAATTTTGTTAATTTTTCAAAAATTTTAAATTAGCAAACGCTTATAAATATTCACCAATTTAGCTGAAAAGGCTAGGTAAATTATGGAGGACGTTATGTGGCAGAATTTAACGTTTACTAAACAAAAGTGAGAAAAATGTTCTTGAAATTATTATGTAAATTAGTATTTAAATTATTTTAGTGTGTGATTAATTTATGTATTATATATGTTAAATAACATGAGGCTATGAATTTAACCGTTTTCTTTTAATATATATATACATATATATATATATAATGTGTGTGTGTGTATGTGTGTGTGTATGTGTGTGTATGTAAATTTTTAAGAAAACTTTCCAACGAAAGACGGTTTTTTAAATGTTCATTCAGTCACTCGTGTTAAAAACAAAAATGGGTGCTGTGAAATTTTTTATACATCTAAAATTTCTCAGAATTCTGATGATTATTCATTTTGGAAAAGTGTTTACCACATTCTAGTATATATATATATATATATATATATACGCACGCACACACACACACACACACACACACACACACACACACACACACACACACACACACACATATATATATATATATATATATAATTATATATATAAGTATTAAATGTTTAATGATGGTAACTTTAACTTTAATGTTTCCATTATTGCTGATCCATTGCGTGAAAATCAATTATTTTTCTCGCACTGAAAATGTCGATTAATCAAGGAACTACTTTAAAAATCCTGGCGCCCGATCTGTAGAACTCGAATAATTTATTCGCAAGCTAATTAATTAGTTCAAAGATTTTGGAAACTTTGTAGCAAAATATTGAAAATCTTTGTATCAGAGACGTCGAGTAATCCCGATAATAATCAATATGTCCAGAGGACTAGAAACTTGCATATTATAAATAAAACATTCTAAATCGGAATATTGGATCGATGAAAATAAGAGACCTTGTCTCTTATTTAGATATTTATACCATTTGTGTGTAATACATTTTACAAATATGAAGTGCTAATAATTTATGTCTGATTTTCTGGGATGAGGAGTTATCATTTTAATGCGGACTATTATCCTCATCTTTTTTGTTGTTATCACAACGTTTCGGTTGTCTCCTCTGGGCTTCATCATGTGTATGCCAATCCAGATACATCTGATGAAGGCCAGATGACACAACAACCGAAACTGTGTAATAACTTAATCTCTTAATAGAAGGTTAATCTTAATTAAGTATAATTAATGAATGACCTATAATAAATATGATAGAGTTCTCATCTAAAGAGAATTGTGTAGTCTTAAACCGCACAATCAATCGCTGTTCAGATGCAAGTAAAAACCAATATTTCCATTAATCCCATACGAGATCAATTTTTGCCATCCAAAGTTTTTCATTTGGAGCATATTTTGGTTTTAATAAATTTATAATATGTAATCTAATAAGAACGATAATTTCTTATAAAAATCATATGACCGAGTATTTCTCATTGAAAAACTATCCCGTAAAAAAAAAAAAAAAAAAAATTAAGAAAGACGAAAATTTCGTTTGAATCAAAGAAGTGTGCTGAATTGTTATGTAATATCAATCTTCCTATACGACAATGATTGGTGAAAAATTTCCTAACAAGAGGAAACTTAAAGCAACAGAGATTCGTTTCTATAGAGACAGAACTGTTCTATATAATGAGACGGAACGTGAGAACAACGAGTAAATTTCAAGGAAAATATCTATTAAAAAAGACACTTATGTTTAATATTAGAAAGAGGCATTTAAAATTTCTGTGATAATGGAGGAAGGCTTAGAGAATTTCACACTCACAAAACCTAATGAAGACTAGACCTGTAGAAGAAAACAGCGACTAACCTACTTTTACTTTTTTTCGTTTTTTTTTTTTTAATCCTTTCAGACAGAAAATAACGATTGGCATTAAATTTAAATTTTTGAAGATGAAAGTTGACTGGGAAGCTAGACGCCAGAAAAGAGAAGTGCAGTAGAAGAAACTGTTAGCATAGAACTTACGGTTACATTTAGCCATTTCAACTGTATAATAATGAGACCTACCTGCCAATCTAGTACAGTGCTTAAATTCATAAAGTCTAGGTACCATAGAGGAAAGTTCACCAAAGCAATTATCATGAAAATATTTATAGAAAAAACAGAGGGAATCTATGTTACAGCAGTGGGAAAGTGGCTGAAGTCAAGATGCCAGATCAGATTCCAATAACATTACAGATGCTTCTTTCTATTTTATTAAGGCTCTCTAAATATATAGCAGGTGCACCAGACCAGATATGGCAGCAATATTCAATGCAAGTATGAATGACAGACTTACAAATATATAAGATAGATTTTGGCGATGGATTTAATATAACCTTTCAACTTCATATCAGCGGAAAATGTTAGCTCGAGAAGGCGCAACGAGTCAGTATCCTGGAGGTTAGCATCAGCCATAACGTTGGACGACAGAAAAGGCTCTCTTAGATGATTGATAGATAGCAATATGTGTAAATTTCAAAGGATTTGTTTATTAACTGGAAAGATGCATGTATCCTCTAACTCAGAAAATATTTTTGTCATTTGATGATTAACTGTCTTGGAGTTTATTTCGGTATTTGCTCCACAAATCAACAGATTAACTCGACACTAATTCTTTCCAGATTTCAAAATCGATTATTTATTTTCTGTAGAACGGATTGAAACTTCAAATTCATAAATACCAATGCCACTTAGCATTGATATTTATGAATATGAATTCTCGAAGTTTATTACGATGAACATACAGTTTTTACTTTTGGTGTTAAATACACATTAACCTAACGGAAATTCTCATATTAAAGAGAATATTGCATTCATTTTTTTATAATTTGATTTGATAGCGAATATTTTATTGTTTGTCTTTTCTGGTAAAATTTATCTTTGAAATCCTAATTAAAATATCAATCTGCTATTCTAGGCCAGGTACAACCGCGATTTGCTCTGATGTTGGTCAATGCGAGTGTGGGGTCTGCAAATGTGATAATATCCAATCGAATCGAGACCGCTTTTATTCCGGACAATATTGCCAGTGTAATGATTATTCCTGTGACATTATTAATGGTCAACTTTGCGGCGGTAAGTCAGATCAAATATATTTGTCGTTTCTGCAAGTAAATAAATAAGTGAAAATATATGCCAAGAATTCAAATGTAAGTTCTGGAAATAAATGGAAACAGACAAACGTTAGGCTATGGAAAACTTCAAAGAATTTAAGGTGTGAAATCGCTGCCTTACCGAAAGAAAATCAAAAATTGATAGGAAATGAGAGTTTCTACAAAATTGTTTTACGAATTGTTATATTTATTGTAAAATTTTATCTACTAATATTAACTCAATGCAGGCTAGGGGTGTTACTGAATGAAATGTGTGTGATATGAATGTAAGATAAGGTTGTATGTAGTGAACATTATGAAAATAGGCGGCGGGGGTAGATAACAATTAACTTGAAGAGATTAAAATTAAAGTGTTCAAGGAAGCTCTTATGCAGGTGTCTGTTCTAAAAAAAGTGTCAGTTCTTATAAAAATAGTGAAACTATTTTTTATAAGATATTGGGGTAAATGAGGGTGTTCCGAAAACGTGGAAGTGTCATGGCGCCGTATCATCGCTGAAAATGTCTCAATGGGTGAAATTTGAATTTGAATATTTATCATGAAAATAGCGATAGAGTGAGGTTAGGTTTGTAACGTTATGTCTGTAAGAAAGAAATTGCCGAGTGGGGAATAAAGCTTCCCTCACAAGAGGCCACGTAAATGTTGTTGAACTCCTTTCAAGCTGGAAAGCGAACATTGAGCAGCTCCAGCCCAATTCAGTCGAAACTGACTCTTGTTTTTATAAAGCATTACAGGTGGGGGTCAGGTCTTTCTTGTAGCGATAGACTGATCGTTTTCCCAGTATCTTTGGCAATTTGTGTAAATGAGTTCCATTTGAGATCTGAAAAGCGTTCGACCAATTCATATGCAGTCGTCTTCAGATTTATTCCATGGAAAATGACAGCTGCTTTTTTCTAAGAAAATGGCGACAATAAAAATGAGTGCTCAATATCAAAACAGCATTTCTCAAAATTTTTACCCTTGTTGAACACACAAAATAGTTTCCATGTCTCAGGGAACCCCTGCTGAAAATGATTATATAGCATAATTAATGTCTATCTCGTTTACATTTTATAATAACTAAGGATTTTCCAATAATATACTGTACGTGTACAGTAAAATTACGGATATAAAAAAAAGAAAATTACGTAATAACACATTAGCGTATTTATAGGTGTTTCTTACGGATCCCCTAGATATCTCTTGTAACCAGAGGATTCTGGATAATCCCGGTTGAGTTATGTGCTATAATCTTTTAGAGGCTCTTCTCTATAATTATGTAAGGGAACTGAGTTCATGCCTTTCTCAGTTTGCCTGTTTAGGTCCAATGCTGTAACTTATTTATAGTCATGATTTTTAGTTTGTTTATTTTATTTATTTCTTACTTTAAATTTATAATTTCCTTTTTTTTTTCTTCGGTTCTAAAGTATTAGAACGTTCTTTAGGAATTCAAATAAAGTTTAGTAATTTCATGTCTCAAAAAATTAAATCTAATAAATTTTATTTCAAATGTCACAAATAAAACCGGAGAGAATAGATAAATAATTATATGAAATATATAAATAATACAATAATAAATTTAAAAGAATAGATTAAGGAATAAAATAAACAAATTAAAGGTCAAGATTTTAAATAACCTAAAGCATTGACAGTAAAGATAAGAATTAGAAAGCACTAGCTTCTTCTTTGCTTAATTTGCATTTCATTTAATCATTCAGTGACCTATATATAGAGACCGCGAGAAAAGTAATGATACATAATCTGAATATTGTTTGAGACGGGAAACTGACAGTTACGATGCAGTGTTTATTCTGTATGTCCACACTGTCTATATCCCTCCTCACTTTTCCTCTCTCTCCTTTATATATATCTCGCTTCTTTTCTTATATATATCTTACCTCAAAACCGGATCTCATATACATTTAACCATTTCATCTGCTAAATCTCTTAAAATGTGTTTATATTTCAGGTGAGAATCAAGGTACATGTGACTGTGGCAAATGTGCTTGTAAAGAGGGATATGAAGGCATTAATTGTAACTGTCCGATCAGTAATGCAACTTGTATTGCATCAAACGGTGTAAGTATTTTAGAATTGTTGTTTGAAGATGAAGTATTTAGTTGTTTTTTTAATTTTATTATTCCAACAATTAAAAGGACGATTTGACCGATGTGTCCTTTCTTAGTTGTATGTTGCAACCAGTAATCTGTGAATGTTAACCAGTACTTTTTATATTCTCAAAGACGAAACAAAATGCCGTCACGCGGATCTGTGAACTACGAAATGCACTTGTAGTGAAAGAGATAATCACTTACCTCAAAAAAGAGTTCGTTTTTACGTTGCCTGTTGGACTGTTACGACAGACTATCGTTTGAATTGTGATTTGCCTAAAAGTGTTGCGGTCGAGAGACAGAAGAAACCTATTGCAGGCGTTTATTGCTATTATAAGTTTACAGTTTTTTTCTCTTTTCTTTATTACAATAGCACTAATGAAAATAACAAATGGAATATTATTTCTGTTGTATTTCACCTGATGTTTACACTTAAGTCTGTTTATACTCGACCTGCGATGTTTATTGGTCCTGAATGTTGTTCTTTTATTGTCTTTTACCTCACTCCTCCTTACTAAAGTCTTCCCATTCTCTTTTGGAGGCACGGTGGATAGCGGCTTGGATTGAGGAATCGGAGTAGAATCCATTACATTCACTTACGTGCCTTGGGAAAGGTGTGAATCCTTTTCTTCTCCCCCCAACTGGGTTCTATACCCTTGGATGGCAACTGGTCTAGGAGAAGGAAAACTCTGAATTCAAAACCTGCGGAGGGTCGTTTGGGGACCTTGTGGCACGTAGTGCACCAGGTCTCTGTAATCGGCCCTTCAAAAAGTGTGGATGGTCCTGCACGAAACCTTCACCATTATAATCAAATCTCATGTACATGCGGGTTGGGGACCGCTTGTGAATTCCAAATTCCCATGAAACTCCAATATTGGAGCCGGCTCAACCCACCTCGGGTGAATGCCGTTACAGGTACAGGTTCCAATTCTCTTTCCCTGTAGCTCCCAGCATCCTAATGTCAGTACCGCCTCGCTGTAGTAAAATGATTTTTTTTTAAAAAGCTGTAGATTAACGGTTTGAATAATTGCGAGGAAAAGTAATAATGATCAAAATGTTAATAAAATAATAAGAATTGTTGACAATACTTCATCTAATAAGAAAGTAAAACAAAAAATAACACGATTATTACGAATGCCATAAAGTTCCATCAACAATAAACATGAAGTAAAGCAATCAATCATAACGAAGGCTAAGCATGTTTATAGTTAGATGAGATCTTTTCCAAGGCGAAGAATGGCAGGTGAGTTGTTGCATTTAATCAGGCTTTTTCCAAGACAATGTGAGTTCGAGGTTCGCCGTTATTTATTCTTTTATACGACAGCCCGAATAGTTGCATTGACAAATGCTAAAAATGAAAATGAAAGAAAAACGACGGAAAAATTAATATAAAAAATAATTCCTTAATTCTAATTTATTCTTTTTTCGTAACTGCAAGAAAAACGTTGTTGAAAAAAAAAAAAAAAGAAAAAAAAAAACTAGCGGAAAATTACTAATAAAAGCCAAAAATATTAGCAATAAGATTGATATTTATTATATTCTCTAAGTAAACCCAAATTCATGTTTAGTCCTCCAATGTATGATTTTATTTTAATTTAAATATACTCAGAGAGTATAATTTCAGCAAAAAGTCCCTCTAATCAACAACAACGTTCCTCGGAAGAGTAAATCCCAGTTCTTTGTTTATTCCTCGTCTCGTTGAAAAAGGACACAGGCGTGTCCGAAAATTCTGATTTTAAAATCTTTCTCTTTGTACTTCCATTTAGTCAAAAGGCAAATATATAATAAACATCATCAATCTTATTGCCAATATTGTTATTTTGTTGGCTTCTTATTCTTCAAATTTTATTAACCGGACTATTAAATCATGCTGAAATGTAGAAACTTCAGCGAAAAATTGATATATGTCGTTTCCTTGCATATTCTCATTCCCCAATGAGATTTCGTTAGAAAGCAAAACAAACAGAAGAGAAAACTGCTTATGTGGAACCCAGTGAGAAAGAAACTCAATCCCAGTGTAGCTTTTGCAAAAAATAATGCTACAAGGGAATTACATCCAGTGTCTAAAGAAGATATATGAACTTGAAGACGGCCATGTAGTAAATTATATTCCTCACATAACGCGGCCATGTAGCAAAATAGATTCTTCACATGTTGCCACCATGTAGCAAACTATATTCTTCACATGTCGACACCGTGTAGCAAAATATATTTCTTAAATGTTGCCACCATGTAGCAAAATATATTCTTCACATGTCGCTACCATGTCGCAAAATATATTCCTTTACCAAACTCACATAAACAACTAATATGTTTAACGTGACACTGAAGACATCGAGCTAATGTAATGAATTACGGAAGGGCTTCACATCCAAAAAATAAACTGTATAACATGTGATAAATAACAAAATAAATAAGTTTTGCAATTACGGTCGCCTATAATGACGTCTTTGTGAAGAAAACTCGAAGATCCAGAAAAACACATTGAAAAACTCAAGCAGAGAAAAACATTTTATTCATTATGCCAGTTAATAATATATAGTTATTTTTGATTTCGAGCGGTCAGGAAAACTCGGAAGTATTTGGCAAATCTCGATCACGTTATGTGACGTGAGAAGTTTAAAAGCGGCCAGAATTCAATATCTATCTTCAAGGTATATTATTCTATGGCCACGTTCACTCTGTGGAGGTTACCTTTGTGTCATGTCTTTTCAGGACCTCATGGGTAAGAATTAGGAGATACGATGTGGATGTTAACAAGGTTGTAGGTTTTGTATGTATTTTTAGGTGAAGGTGCGTGTTCCAGATATAAATAAAAAAGTTGGAAGAAGCATACGTTAAAAAAAGAAAAAAGAAAAAAAAAAAACTTGTGTTTCTGCCACGGGCGTTTATTTCTGAATTGAAACAAAGTTAAATGTCTCTGAAGTAGGTCCGTTTCCCTTTTTGGTTCCGAAATTATTTATGCGGAGTAAAGATAAGGACGAATAGAGATGGTCGAACATAAGTCAGCCTAGTACTGAATTAATTTCTACTTCATGAGTAGTGCGGCTGAAAACACGTCCGAACGAATTCGTTGGAAAGTGGAAAGAATTTAGTCGCCAGTGAAGCGGGCAAACTAACATTCCCCAGTGGGAACGCTGTTACTGCGTGGTTCACATCTTGAAGTCAAGAGGAAAAGGAGAAAGATTCTGTCCTTTCCGAAAGTGGAGTCATAAAAATCGCATATGTAACCAGAAACAATATCCGGTTTCTTTATAACTTGCATCATGGGAAAATTACATTATATTTTTTTATTTATTCGTTATTATTATTTTATTTATTGGTTTTATTTCCTTTTCGCCACAACGGTTTCAGATGCAAATAAATATCCGTTAGTGTTAACCCTTCAAAATAACATGAAACGACACACTCAACTTATAATACAATAACTCTGTTAATATACAAAATGTAATTCTAATTACAGGAGCTGTGTAATAACAAAGGAACATGCAAATGTGGTGTCTGTATTTGTAATGTGCAACCTTACCGTGGGCCGAAATGTGAAGATTGCCCAGTAAGTATCGTGACTCGATTAATACCAGATATTTTAGCTTTCTTTTTTTTTGTCGTGTATACAAGCAAATATATCTCTATACATAGATTAATAGAAAAAAATAACAGTTTCTTCGTAAATTCAATTTGGCATCCAGTTACTAAGTTTACGATAAAAGAATATCCACGCTCTATTTACGTAGCGGATAAATTTGTTTGCACATATTTGGATTTGGCTGTTGTTACGTCTTAGCATTGAGGAATTCACCAGTTATGGGAAGTAGTTACATACCTGAGACATAGAAGATTTGCGAAAATGTCTTCCTGAAAGTAAGCAAAGTATTAAATGATAGGAAATTACCATTATAGACAGCGTCGAACTACGATGTAATATCGATTCATATGTACAGTGGTGGATATTCTACAATAGCCTTACAGATGAGGAATACATTTAATATAGTACTACTGACAAATGCTGAGAATATGGAAAAGGGATGAGAGCTATAGGTAAGTTTGAAGAAAATAGGAAGTATAAAGAAACTGTTTCCAACAAAAAAAGAGATGAAAGAGAAGAGGAGCTGAAGAATTAAACACTGACAGGACACTGACATCAAAAGAGACGGCAAGTGACTTATTTAAACGAGTTTGTGGAAATAAATGGCAGAAAAGAAACAATAGAAGGATGACAAATTATCAAATGTTTTTACTTAGAGCAAAAGATGAAAGGAAGTTGTAGAGAGCTATGATTCACACATTCTGAAAAGACATAATGCTGATAAAACTACATTACTCAATATATACATTCATTTTGAGAAGTTTTTTTAAGCGTTTTTTTTCTACTTTTATATGGCATTTCTTTTCAGAAATAGGAAGATCAAATCACTTATTTGAATAAAAATGAACTTATTAATAAGCAATACACCAATAATGGTGTTTGGATGGTAGAGTCTGCGGTCAAACTTAACGTATCAGGTGTCCATCACATAAGTTTTACCCTATTGATACTTTACCGGAATATTTTGTTAAGTTTCTACTATTTTTAGAAGATTTTTCCAAATAATATTTCAGAATAGAAAATAATAATTTATTTATGTAAGGGAGAGAACTCTCAGCAAAACGTTAAAGGCATTACTGAAAAAACTGCTTGATATATATATATATATATATATATATATATATATATATATATATATATTATAAATTAATTGATTTAAAATATGGTTTTTTTCGCTACACAGTTCTAACCATGTTTAAAAAATGGAAGTTAAAACCTCCGAATTTAATTTTGTAATTAAATTAAAGACATTAGTTCCATTTCATCCTCAAGCGAATTTTGAAGTAACTTTTTGCCGTTAACAATAAAATTTTAAAAAATCCAGGCGACATGTATTTAATGGATGTTAGATTTCATTGAAAAATACATCCCTACCCGCTACCAAAACGTAACTAATAACGGATACATCAAAATACAGACATAATGAACACGCAGACACCCCTTGTCTAGTGGAAGTGGATTTTTCTGTAACCTTGGAAACGTGTATTATGATTTTATCTGTGTCTTTAAAACCCAGTAATTTTAAAATTTATATATATATATATATATATATATATATATATATAGAGAGAGAGAGATAGATAGATAGATAGATAGATAGATAGATAGATATGCCAGTGTTTTTCAACATTTTTTTAAAATTCCGGGTGTCCTTGTATAATAGCTAAAACCCTTAGGTGCACTTTAAATTTTAATTAGGAAAAAGCAGAAATTTTTAAAAAACAAAACAAAACAAAAACGCATCTATGAGCGCAAAATTGACGTAACAAATAACAACTAATTCATTACTCATACATAAAAATAAATTCAACCTCAATTTTGATTTTAAAATCGCTTTACTCATAAAAACACAAAATAACTCACTCAGAAGGAAAATCCTCGAGAGTGCTGCCATTGAATATTATCCAAATATTAATCTACATCCAAGTTTTTTTTCTAATATCACTTTTCCTAACACAATTAATACTTTCCCAAGACAACGTACAAAACTGTATCAAGAAATCAAAAGAAATCGGAATTTTGAATCGATCAACACAACAATAAAAAGAATATTTCTGCACGTGATAGTACTTTTAACTTGTCAAGATGTATTCAATAGCGTTTTCTAATTTCTTCTACCTGCTAAGAACTTTTTTGTTGTTAATAGTTACTTTGTTTTCAATAAATTCATTTCGTTTTTGCCATGAAAAAGTCCACATTAGACATAACGCGTCGTCTCATAATACAGTTTTCCTACAGTCTTTTACCTTTACACATATTGTCTTTTTCTACAGGTTAGCTCTGAGAAATTTTTCATATATATATATATATATATATATATATATTGCGTATATTTTGGCAGCATGTCATCATTGAGAGATGTTTTATTCAATATCTATATTAAAAAATTGTAACCAACCTATAATAAAATGAATTATGAATACTACATAAATGTTCTCAAATGTTCACAGTAGATAATTTAAAATAGTGAGGTTTATACCAAAAGTTCTTAATACTTATTTTATTTATTTAAAAAAAAACAAAACTCGACAGCCTTATAAGTTAGTTGCCTCACCTGAAGCGTTACTCAAGCTAATCGCACAGCACTAAATTCAGCGTTCTTCACTTTAGTAAAAAAAGAAACTTTCAGATGAATACAGCAATTTAGTCTTTGAAAATCATGAACGCTACAATATTTTTCTTGAAAAGAAAACAACACCATGATGATGACATTGTGCTAACGTCTTAATTTACTCGGAATAAATAATATATATCAACACGGTAATTTTCTTTCTTCCTTTAATAATGACAACAAAAAACTAGTCCCTGAATATGAAAGAATCCAATTGAAAATACATAAACTTGTATATATATATATATATATATATATATATATATATATATATATATATATATATATATATATATATATATATATATATATATATATATTTATATTTGTCATTTTAATACTTTTTTGCATTACTTTTTGTAAGGCCGATATTGACTGATTTAAATCACATGAGGAAGCAAAAGAGAAATTATTATCCACTCTTTAAAGATTAAGAAATTTAGCATCCAATTTAAAATAACAAATAACAAAGACTTTACTTAGACATGGAAGACATTTACTTACTGTCTCGAACTTTATTTAAATATAAAAATAATTCATACTCTTCTGTTAACTTAGAACGCACCTGGCTACCTTTCAGCGCGTATTTTAAATGAAATGGGAAAAATTTTATAATAAAAAAAAAGAATTTCAATATGAAATTTTAAATTATTTTAAGTATTTTCCTTTTTCTTTATTGCTTCCTCTCTCTTTTCCTTTTGTCTAGACAAATTTATTTCATATCTAAAAAATCTTCGGTCTGAAGAGATGAATATTTAAATATATTCATGAAAAAGTCATAACAGAAATAGATATTTAAGGACGGTCTTTACATATTATTATTATATTGCTTTGTTATTTACATTGAGCCCTCTTTGAATTAATATCCTCCTTGGAATTATCTCGACCAATTACCAATTTTATATATATATATATATATATATATATATATATATATATATATATATGAAAGTGAACATTGAAGTCAACACCCAGAGGCAACTGTTTCTTGTTAAACGCAATGTTGCGTTTAGCATGAAACAGATTATCGTCTTAGGGTGTTGACTTCAATGTCCACTTTTATATTTACATACGCACTATACCTGACAACATACTTAACAAAGCATAATTTCACATTTTGCACACAAGACAACAAAAACACACTATTAATAAAACTGAATATATATATATATATATATATATATATATATATATATATATATATAATATATAAATTATATTTATTAAGTATGTTATGGTAAAAATCTTAATACACACCCATTTGAGTATTAGATATTCCGGGGTTGGGTGTGTCCCGAAATATGTCTGCTGTAAACAAAAGAACAAGTGTTTATTTACACCTGATGCCTATTTTATAGTCAATTAATTTTTTCATTAAAAATCATTTCAGACCTGTCCAGGAATGTGTTCCAAAACGAAACATTGTGTTCAATGCAAAGTGTTTAAAAGAGGAAATTACACACAAGACGACTGCATCCACAAATGTCCATATGAAATTAAAATTGTAGACAAACTCGGAGGTGAGTTGCTATTGTCTTTTTAAATTTTCATTTTACTTGCCCAAATAATACAAAAGATTTAGGCATCTGGCATGAAGCTTGGCTTAGTGTGTTTTTTTTTCAAAATGTCTCCTAATATTGTAGCCCTGTACTAGAATAAATGATAAGTGTAAAAAGTATATATATATATATATATATATATATATATATATATATATATATATATATATAAGAAAATAAAAAATAAAAATTAAAATCATTAGACACACTGGGTTGTAAATTCTTTCGTTTTTTATTATTATTATTCCATTTAGATTCCTCGACTAGACCGAAATGGTCATCATCGGAGGAAAATTAAATATTTCGACTGTTAACAGTGAACCTTACAGAAATATATAATATATATGATCCCGAACAAAATTTCAAACATTCGGTAAAGGCAATTTTGGTCAATTGACCACGCTTTACGTATTTTTTTTAAATAAAAATTTTCTGAATGCTATATTTAAACAATATTATGAACGCTATAATTTTAAAAAATAATAAATAAATGAATAAAACGGCTAAAGAAGGTGAGGAGGAGGGAAAATCTTTATTGACAATGTTCACAAATGTCACCTACTTTCTTTTATCTCACTTCATATGGACTCAAAAGGAACTTTTTAGTATGTATACAACGGATCATAATTTCTGATCTATGATTCAAAAGTTTTTTTTTGTTTGGAAATATTCTATATATATATATATATATATATATATATATATATATATAAATAGTTACGTATTCACTGAGTTTAAATTTTCATTTGTGTTCCTTTAATGTGGCCTGATTACAGGAAGATTTTAACTATATGGTGTGTTCCCTTCCCCCACATCTGTTATTTGGTCTTTTATTGATTTTCGATATTTTTTTTTTTTCGTGAATAAAAGATTTTTCACTACAAATGCTATATTGATTTAAACAAAATTGTCGTTATTC